TATACAAACATCTACCTTATTCTAGAAATAGGTGCAAGGGTCCTTTACCACCTCTATTTCCCTAGGAGGTTTTAGAAGCTTTTATTGTTTCCATCCCTCTAATATTCACTTAAATGTTATAAAACTCATTCTAGATCCTTCAAGGTACGTTATAGAATTATGGACCATATTCTCTCATTTTCTCAAGTTTTCCAAGAGTTTCCAGAATATTCCATTAGCCTCCCTTCCTTGAGACTTCCTCTTGGTAGGCAATTCTGTCTAGGTAATTTGGCGGGGCATGACACTGAGCTGCCTTGTGTGACTTGTCTTGAGTTGTGGCTGCAGCCGTGTATGGCTTGTCTTGAGCCATGAGCATGAGACTACTCTGAGGTAAGTTCTCTTGAACTGAAGTAGATGTAATATCCTTATCACTGTTCTTGCTGAGAGCATCAGCAAGAGCTTAGTTTTTTTTTTTTTTTTTTAGGAATGTTATATTATTTACAACACAAATATATATATTCTAACTTAGGGGGAGAGGGATGAGACTTGACCCCCCGACCATGAGTCTAGTAAAAAGGGTCCTTACCACTTGGACAACTTTCTCTGAGCAATAGTTTTGTTAAAGCCCCATTTCAACTAGTTTGGGGAGGGGGGGATTTTATTTACACCCAAAGTACTCACAATTTCTTAGTACATTCTGTTAAATTATTTAGTGTACGGGAAAGAAATAAACCTTCTCGTATAATCCTGTTGATCAAGTCTGCACTCCTCCGTACGACGTCACTTTACTCCCTGAAAACACAAGCATGAGCTAGCCGGCGGGTGTGTGCCGGAAACCCCTCCGATGCCTAACTCAGAAAAACAGACAAGTAGACAAGAAGCTCTGTGAATTCGAGAATCAAAGTTGTGTTACCTCTCCAAAGGTGATGTTTGTGAGCTTTTATAGGTTTCGTGTGGCACAATCCTAGTAGGACTTTTACTCCTCCATGGAGAGTCCTCCTAGGATTCATACTCCTGAAGGATAATGCTTATCCCTCAACACCCCCCTCGCTGCTTAAACCAAGTGAGATGGTTTTTACCATGGCCGAACTCCAATATGACCGAAGTAATCATGATCACGCCGAGCCACAGCGTAGACCGAACTATCGTTAGTTCGGTTCTACCTTCAGTGTTCTTACTCCAGTTCCTCCATTGTCAACAATGTTAAGTCTAAACCGACCTAACTTCTAGCAAGGCTTTTAGACCGAACTAACCATACTGTGCCTTAACCGATATAAGTTCAACGCATCCTTAAACCGGTCAAACTACAAAGCGTCCTTCAACCGGACTAACATCAAGAGTAACTCGGACCGGCCTACCTTCTGGGCTTGAGATCGGGCTAACTTTAAGCCTCTTCAAGACCGGAGTAACTTTATAGCCTCTTTACTCAGCCCTTCGTACTGAGGCCCATAAAGGCCCAGCTCGGCCCAGAAGCCACCTTATAATTTTTCTTAAATTACCTTTTAAGGTATAACCAAATAAGAATGAAGCCACCATTTTCAAACTTATAATGCCGAACAATATTATTTGGTTTAGACTTTCAGATCCAAATAAGTTGACTTTGTTCGGATCTAGAAGTCTGAACAACAATGATGTTAACCGATTCGATTTTCATGATTCTGATGATGAATTCGATGATGGTGATGATGAAGATGACGATGATGTGAGCATGAAGAAGGTTGGGTATGTTGCGATTCTTGCTGTGGATGATCCTGCCAAAGCTCCTCTGGTGTGGATGATCCTGCCAAAGCTCCTCTGGTGTGGATGATCCTGTCAAAGCTCCTCTGGTGGCCAAGGAGGTGGTTTGAGAAAGGGAGGTATTAATTTGGTTTTCCGGATTTAAGGGAATTTGTTCTTGTAAGTCTGGGCTATTGCACATGTTTTATTTTTTGTTCATCTGTTAACCTCCTTCCAAACAGGCCAAATATTCATTTTTATGTATAAAAAAATAAAAATCAAAAATTGTATTCTAATATTTATGTGAATATTTACCTCCTTTTTGATAGGATGTTTCAAAAAATGATTTTCATTATTATTCTCATTCATTGTTTGATTTTGTTCAAATTTTTTTCTATTTACAAGGATAAGAAACAATGATATTAATGATAATGGTGAGTTTTGGTAGGATGGTTTAGAGTTTTATAGTGAGGAAGTAGAAGAAGAGAAAATAATTGCAAGTTAGGGATGAAGATAAAAAAATACATATATGTAATTAGGGTGTATTATAAGTAAAATTAATTCTAATCAATTCTAATTATTTTTATCCAAATCAAATTTTCATTAAACTTGCCATATGATTCTAACTATTCTAATTAGCCTATTGAACTAGCCAATTTTAGTTTTGAATCCGTTTGGGCTTCCAATTTATGATTCCAAGTTGGTATTCTAACAGGTATTCCATAAACAAACAGTAAACGCAAAACTAAACACATAATTAGGCAAACATACTCAATAAAATAATACGCAAAAATGATATGCACGTCGAAGTCATCACACATACACTCCACTTCTTGCAAGGGATTTAGGCTTGAATCTTAGTGAAATGAGAGATATACAAAGAGGGAAATCTAGGATTTTTGGAATTTGAGAGAGAGAAAAGAAGAAAAAAAGGAAAAGTTAAAGAAATGATCTAAAAAGTGGCTTTTAAGTTGCTGAATTCGCAAAGAAATAAAACGAATGTCAAACATGGTTATCAAGATACACGATTTCTAGGTCATTAAGTTAATAAAAAAAAAAATTCGATGAAAGTCAATAATTAATTATTAGATTAGCTCTTGAAAATAAAAGCTACAAATTGTTATGAGTGTCTGCCTATCTAGTTGAAATATATTATATAGCTATGAATTTTTTTTTTCTTAATCCTTATTTTTTGGGTAAATGACACTCATTTTTTTTGGAATTTAAGAAAAATACAGTTAACTTATATATTTGATATAATTATATTGATTTATATTTTAATAATGCTAAAGGAACTTAAACTAATGTATATTTTGAATAGATATTGAAATAAACAAAAACAAATACATATTTTAGTAGAAAATAAATGATAATAATATTTTTTTATCTATACGATTAACAAATTATTAGTGAAAAATGACCTAATTGTTATATGAATTAAAATCCCAAAAAATACCAATGTAATTCTATTAAAGGTATGAGATTAATTGTATTTTTTTTTTCAAACTTTAGACAAAATGAGTGTAATTAATGCTGATTTTTTAATGTATTTTTTTACTCCAAGTCAAGAAAATTATTCTTATTTTGTCAATTCGATTAAGAACTTTTATTCATACTTCACGTTGTTTTAAATATATATTTCCTTCTTTATTCTAAATACATTGAAATTTTAAATTTTTTTCAAGAATGTATTTTATATAAAATGATATTAATATAATTATATATAATAAAAAAAAGTAAAAATAAGAAAACAAAGAAGAATAAGAATAAAAGCACTCATAAATTTTGAGTAAAATTTTTGTGTTTGTTGCTCTTATCTTTCAACTTTAACATATTCACATACCTTCAATTGATGCACCTACCGCGCACACATATAAGCCAGGTGGATAAATAAAAAAGGTTCCTCGACATAGCCACATCTTGTACTTCCAATATCCAACTGCACCAACCAATAACATGGTTTACAAGTTTTTAATGAGACCTCTCAAACTATTGATGCAAGTTTTATTTTGCTGTAGTTAAAATGTCAGTTTATTAATTAAATTTTTTTTAACCTATTTCATGAAATCATTTCTCACCAAAAAAACTCATTTAGCAGGACTTTTTTTAAAAGTTATTAGAAAAATTTTAAAAATTAATAATATAGTAGATAAATTAACTTTTTAGCATTAATTTCTTTATAAGTTTATATTTTTAATAAATAATTGTTATAATTATAAAATTCAAAACATAATAGCTGTTATAAACTATTTCAAATATATGTCATAATTATTTGATTCAATTATAAATTACACAGATATAGATATTATGTGTCCACGTCTAATATAATTTATAATCGAAACATGCAAATTTCGAATTAAATCATACTCGAGCTTATTTTGTTTGACTCAATTGTATAACCGTAAATTATAACTTCAAATCCTACCTCCAAACGCTTAGCCCTAATTTATAATATCATGTAAGGGCAATTTGAGCAATGCCATTTTTTCTTTTGTCTTTTTTTTTTCTCTTTTTTTGTTTTAGCTATAGTTATTTTCACATGAGTAATGTTAGAGATCTTAAAAATTTTACTAAAATTTCTATCAAATATTTTACATGAGTGTGTGACTCATATAGAACCCACATAATATGGGTCCTACATATAAGACATTTCATAAAAAAAATTCGTATAATTTTTGAAAATTTCTAATATTTTTCTTTTCAAATTGTTTGCCTAAGAGCATCTCCAACGCTACACTTCTTTTTTCATCAAATCTGTCGAAAAAAATGACGATTTTTTTAATTTGATACGAGGCGCTCCAACGGTGAGCATCAAAGCAGATTTGGGGAGGTGGTCGACCGGTTTGAGCAATTTTTTTTTTTTTTTTTTTTTTACCTGTTTGAACCTTTTTTGACTGGTTTGAACCTAGTTATTTCAAAGGAACCGGTTGACCGGTTGGTCAACCGGCCGGGCAACCAGCCGGGCAACCGATGTATCTCTTTCAACGGTCCGTAACAGTGATTTGGTAAAATGCAGAACTTGTTTTCAGTTTGATACTTTTTTTGCTGATTTCTCATTTTGATATTCATTTGATGCAACGGTTGGAGCATGGAAAAGGCCATTTTTCATCAAAATTTAAATCTGATATCAATTTAGGTTCAGCGTTGGAGATGGTCTAATATTTTATAATATTATGATTGGTGAAAAATATCGATAGCATTAGATGTATTAATTAGTATATTAATTAGTGTATCAATATTAATTATAATATTATTATTGACTACACTCATTAATTATATTATAAATATCAAAAATTTCTTATCTTTTCTTACAATTTAAGCCAAAAAAACTGTTACACAATTTATACCACTTCCAAAACCAAAACCAAAATCAAAACCAAAACCTCAAAAACCCATTACACAAAATCTGACACACCTCGTCGGAAAATGAGCTCCGTCTGCATATCAAACTGTGTCAAAGACACCAGAGTTCCCGTCAGAGCCACCTACGTCAACCTCTACAAGTGGCCGGAATCTGACGCCGAGTTCGTCCGCACGGCGGTGCGCGGCGGCGGAGGGCGGCCGGAGCAGCAGCCGAGGGTGGTGGACAGTATCTCCTGCAGGCAGCTGTACCTTAGGAGCTACACTTTCTCTAGGAAAGAGACAGTTCCGGAGAGGACTAAGAAGTGTTTGGATCGGGTCAGAGAGAGGGTGGTGGGTCGAGGGGGGAGGAGGCGGAGGAGGACGGCGGCGGAGGGTCGGCCGGTGGTTCGTAGGAAGAAATGTGCAGTGGTGAGGAGAGTGAAGGAGCTATCTTGCGCCGCCCTTTGTGCTATCTTCCACAGGCTGCTATCTTGCTCTGCTAGTGTAGATGTTGTGGGTGGACCATAGACACCAGTGAGTTGGTTAGTAGTTGTTGTTTAATAATACAACAAATGCTAGAAAGAAATTAAATATAGAATCGGATAAAAAAAAATAGATGGACGGACAAGATTTTGCAACAATGGTTGCTAGGGGCATGTCTGTTTATTTATTTATTTTGTATTTGATTTTATATTTAATTTATTTATGTGTTATTAAACTTATTTTTAATTATATGATTTGGATAATGTTTGGAAAAGTTTATATTTATGTTTAATTAGAGAATGGAATGGGTATTGGGTATCTGTTGTTTTTATGTTTGGAGGGTTGAAAGAGGTAGGTTACAAATTGTATGTTTTGGGTCTGCAAATTTGTCTAGTTCTTATGAGTGTGTTTAGCAAAATAATGAGTCGTCTATTTTACCATGTATATACTTGCATTTTCTTGGTTAAAGAAGTTCTATTTTCTTCATAATGCTTGTCAAAATTGATACACTAATGTTTTGTTGGAGGAAAAAGAAGTAAAAACCAAGTATAGTGTCGAATAAATAAGTGTAATTGTTAAATTTTATGATCACGAACTCAAGGAAAACTTTATTTCCTATTTTTATTAGGCTTAGATCAATTTTAATCTTTTCCACTTTGGTTTGGGAGGTGCAAAGTCAGAAAAACTGAGAAACATAACCATTTGATTTTATTTGCACTCTATAACTATGAGACGACCATAATAAGGTGATCTTTTTGTCAATAGATTTTTTAATATTTGTAGTCTTTGAAAAGATGGTAACTAACTACGTAATATTTATATAAAAAATTTATTATTATATAAGATATTTTATTTAAAAAGTCATTATAAATTATCATATTATTCTTTTTATTTTTTATACATCTTTTGAAAAAATTAAAATAATTAATTTTTAAATTTGTTGTATATGTTATATATTCAACGTATTGCCACATGGAAGGAGAGAGAAGGTACAGTGAAATAGTGGTTAGTTAGTACGTAGTAGCGCAATCAAAGGATAGAGACATAATGATCATCTGGAAAATGCATATTCCCACCCTGTTTGACTGTTCAAAATAAACTAAAACTAAAAATAAAATTAAAAAATAAATAAATAAAGTGTTTAGGTGATTTGATATTTTCAGTGGCTCAACTAAATTGTATCTAAAGTTAAATTTCACTTTTTGACTGGCTAGCTACATATATACATGTATGCAGGAAAGCAAACCCCTTACAGAGGGTTGGATGCTTTCTGAACTGTGACAAACGTGATAAATTAAATTAATTATAATTATTAAATTGGTTTAATTTTTTTTCATGTAAATAATATAAATAAAATAAATGATTTTGAATTAACAAATATGAACCCACACAATACCCTATTAAGAAATAGGTAAATTACATTGACTATTTATGAGGTCTAAAAATATATATCTTAAGTTTTACAAGTTTGACAAAATTATATTTGACTATTTACGAAGTTTCAAATGAAGACTAAGAGGTTGTTTGGAATGTCTTAAATAAATACATTTTTTAACTTTTTAGACTAAAAAGTTGAGGAAAAAATATGGTTGTTTAGGTTAACTTTTTAACTTTTTATGAAAAAATGTGTATTAAAAAATTGTATAAATTAATGTGTAGGAAAAAATTAGAATTAAGGGTTATGTAGCCGTAATTTTTGATTTTTGGTGAATAGTAATAACTTTTTAACTTTTTGAATAATTTTTTGACTTTTTGGTCACATGTCAAACTTGACCTAAAACTGGGGACTAAGAATTTATGCTCATTTAAATTTAAGACAACACAATATATTTATATCAAACTTTGTAAAAATTTTTAATACATTTTCACTACACTCCGAAGAAAGTAAATATAATTCATTCTAAAGATTATTTTATGATTTGACTAGCAAGTGTACGATTAATTCAAAAAATAAAAATAAAAAGTTAAAATTGTTCAAAATTGATTTGTGATAGACGGCGGTGATTGCCTTAGAATCTTTGATTTAAATTTAGATCGCATGAGATATCATGGTTTGGACTTCTTTTGGCCAATTTTTTTACTACTGGACTCACCTTAGTTTAAGTTTTTAATAATAATAAACTTTTTTTGTTTGTTTTATCCAAAAACAAAAAAACAAAAAGGTGGATTCCTTTTTGTTAGGACTGGATTCATTGCATTTAAAATTTTGAACTGTCTCAAAGAAGGTGTTTTTCCTTCTTGCTTCTATTTGAATTGTTAGGTTGTATTTGATTAGCAGGTTCATCTTTCTAGTCTAGTTCAGAGGCAACTATTTTTAGACATCGTTTTGGAGTTTGATTTTTTTTTAATAATTTTATAATTTCTTGACTTTTTTATGAGGGACAAAAAAAAAATGTTAATATTTTTAACCTAAGGTGAGTCCAGTTGACGTAGAATTATTCAAATGAGGTTTATTATGAACTGCAATCAGTTTAATTCGGATTTGTGATTTCACCCAGAGCTCGGTATGAATTTTTTTTGTTTGTTTAATCTTATATAGGTCATGTGTGGATAGATCATAAAAAATCATATTGATTTGTTAATTAAAATTATATGATTTTCAAACTATACTTGTCTATATTTTTTATGGAAAAAAAAACCATGATAAAATAATATAGGAATTATTATTGGATCAATTTATTTTTTACATATATAAATAATTTACACAATGATTTAGAAAATAAGCAGATCAGTATGCGTCCAGTCTACTCCATTGAAAAGGAGCTTAGCCCTTGTAATTAAGATGGTATGATAGAAAAATAATTTTGCACAAAGAATCAAGAGTAATGTTAGATATTCTAAAAATTTTATCAAATGTCTCATATCAGTGTGGAATCCTGCACCCATGTAAGATGTTTAATAGAAATTTTGATAAAATTTTTTGGAATCACTACCATTTTTGAAGAATCAAACATCAAATCCAACCCATAATCATTACAATCCTCTCTCACAAAAAAAGTCAAAAAAGTCAAAAAGTCAAAAAGCCCTTCCCAAACCAGGTTAAAATAGCTAAAAAACCAAAAAGCTAAAAAGCCAACCCACTTTGTAAACGGAGGCTACATAAACACACCCTGTGCGGTTCACCAATGGAGTATGCTACACACCGACTTCGAAAACCTAACCATCAAATTAACCAAAATTAAACAGCCCTATCTGTAATATATATGGTGTGCATTTTAAGTAGCATTTGAAAAACTGAAATGGAATTGATAGAACAATTATTTCAACAAAATTTCTATTCTGATTGATTAAAAATAATAGTGAATAATAAATCGTAATTGAAATTATCATAATACAAAGATTCGGGAATGCGATTCTATTTTATTCTAACTCATGCCAGTAAATTAAATAAAACATTAACTTTTGTCATAATACAAAGACTCAGAAACTTTTAAATAAAGTCAATCTTAACATGCCACTATATTAACGACCATAAGTTTATGAAACTTTAGTTAAAGTGAGATTTTGAGATTTGAGAGGATAAAATGTATATAACCTTCACCTCATTTTTTAGGATGATATTTTTGTGATTTGAATCCATGCTATGAGAATGTTAACTAGAAAAATTTATCATTGAACTTAACTGCCTTTTTAAAAAATAAATAAATAAATAAATAAAGGAATGACAGGCATAGGCAATAAGCAAAGAAACTAAAGGGAACATAGGCATAGTCGCGGCCTCAATATATCATTCCTCTTCCAATCAAATATTCATTTCTACCATCAGTAGCAGAGCTTGCCACTTAAGCTTCGTTGGGCATAAAAAATCTGGGCTAAAATAGTCATAAAAGAATAAAATAAACTAAAACGTCAATAAAATAAAATATCACATTTAAATCATAATTATTTTATTTTTTCTCTCACAAAAGTCAAAAAATTTATCCCAAATGAAGCTTTTTAGCTCCAAGCTAAAATAGCCAAAAAACTAAAAAGCTAAAAAGTCAACTCACATCCCAAACGAAGGCTTAAGGTTGTTTGAGATGTCCTAAATAAGTGCACTTTTTGTCTTTTTAGACTAAAAAATTGAGAAAAAAAAGATGGATGTTTGGATTAACTTTTTGACTTTTTACAAAAAAAATTGTATTAAAAAATTATATAAATTAGTGTGTAGAAAAATTTTTGACAGTGTAAGCCGTACGGTGGCAGTAAGGCTTGCAGAGTGGTGTAATAGTAAATGGTTGCCTCTTTTTCGGACAACCATTTGAACAGTGCTCTTTGGCCAGTGCGGGCGGAACCGTCATTGTGTATAACTCGTCGATTATTATATATTTATAAAAAATCACGTTGATCGGATATCCATAACTATCTGATCGGATTAGTTTTTTTGTCAATCGTTAACTATAACACCATCCATTTTTTTATACAAAACTGATTTGATCATATAGTTAGCGATATCCGATCAACGTGAGTTTTTACAGGCATATATTACTAGACGAGTTCTACATATTGAACGGTTCGGATTATCAAAACGGGACTCGTGGTGGGGAGCAAGGATCCTCTAGAATGATTTTTTCCTAAAGTTTCCTAGAGTATCACATTGTGTGGTTGAGATTTACTGACAAGTCACATCAATTTTTCTGATGTGACTTGCCAGTAAATCTCAACCACACAATATAGTATTCTAGGAAACTTTAGGGAAATTTATATTTTTAATTTGTAAATGGTGATGACTTTTTTATTTTTTTTATAACTTTTTTGACTTTTTAGATTTTATCTAACATCCCAAATCAGGCCTTAATATAATTATTATGCAACAGAGTTTATGGAAGAGTATATCAAAGGTGAGTTTGGCAGTTAAGTAACACATTGGTCCACAATGCCCATCCTCAAGCTAAGCTGTGCATGACAGTGGCTTCACCAAACTCAACACTACCAAGTTCATCCAATTTGCCACAATGATCATGACTTCGAATGGAAGGAAACAATCATCACCCTCAACAACACCGCACTCCCCACCACAGGATACCCTATTTTTGTAATCTTTCGTGTCCCTCGTTTTGAACCCTTTTCCACCGCACGATTAATGATGAAAAAATTGATCAAGAGGTGGGAGAGACAGGTTTGAATAGGAGAGATTAGATTGAGGATAAAACATCTGATTTCATGTTATTCAAATTGGTTCCATCACATGACTAATGACAAAAAGATTGATCGTGTAGTGGGAGGGAAAGAAGATGAGGGAGATCCGGTAGAGATAAGATTCTCTCATATTATTTAAAAGCTTTTCCACCACACGATCA